TGGGGCGGCGGCGGCGCGAGCGGCGGTCCCGCTCAGGGCGAGGAGCGCGAGGGGAGGCGGCAGGAGCCGCGCTGCCCCCCACATTGCAGCCGAGGAGCTCGCGCCTCCCGCACCGGCACCTCGGCCCGCCCCGAAATGCCCCTTGAAAGGGGAGAAGTTACAGCACGGACACGGCTTTTTTAAGTACACTGCAAATCGCTGGTAGCTTCAGCACATCTGCATCTGACTTTGGAATAAGCACAAAATATGTAACAAAAGAACAGGGAGTCGAGAATTTGAAAACAGCCAGAGCAGGCCCTTGGAAACAGGGACATGTCAGTGCTTAACAACACTAACAAACATTAAAATTACCATTAATTGTGAGGGGGAAGGCCACACAGCCCAAGGTGGCATTTTACTACTCCTAATGTGTTTTTTTTTTTAATTCAGAAAAAAAAATGAAAGAAAAAGCAGTTTTTAAAGATTAAAAGTTTATTATGCAATGTTTATGTAAAAAGCAAGAGTGGTGAAAATGAAATAAAGTACAAAAATAAATAGACTTTTATGATAGTACATTCCACACAAAAAGTGAATTAAATATGCATAAATAAAAAGCATATTAAAAAAAAAACATTCTGGCACTTGTCAAGAAAAAGGCCCCATAAAAACAAAACAAAACAAAAACACACTACAATGTTTTACTGTACACATTGGAAACATTCTTGAAGTAAAAGAGGTTTAGATGACAAGCCCAAACAGACGGTAAGCATTCCCTTTTACTAACATTTAAACTAAACCTACTTTTACGTCAACATATTACCTATGCTAATAATTAACACAGCACATAAAAAGATCTTTTAAAAACATCAATCCTTATCAATCATATATCAACAGCAAACTCAATTGCACTCTGAAGTTTTATAACCTGTGAGAACAGGCCACATTTGTCACTTACACTCTTTTTTTTCCTCTTAAAATCTTTTCTACTTGGATGTATAGAGTATCCAAACAAAGGAAAGTTCAGGATTGTGAGACCTTATGACTACAGGGAAGCAGAAAGTTTGTCTCAGCCGTTTTTTCTATTATGGTGGTAACTTTAAAAAAACTATAGGATTTAAATGAAGGAGACAAGTCTCCACTAGTGTTAATTCTTAATTTACACCACTGAGTGTAAATTACTTACCCAAAGCCTTCAAAAAAAAAGAGCCACTGAGCAGTGGTGATCTTCACGGTGCTCAGCAGTGTTTTTGCTTTTTTCCAAGTACATAATTCAGGTAACATGGTATAAAACATTTAATGATGCAACTAGCAACAGGAGACAAACCTATTTGTAGATGAACATCAGAAACAGTTGTGCAAGCAAGCCCCTGAAGATATCGCATTCATCCCCTGTTCATGTTCCTCCTTATGGTAAATGTTTAACACGAAATTTTTTGTCAATCTTACTTCTCATATACCAGTGTCAATGTGTTACAAAGCCTCTGAAGTTAAAGTGTCATGCTGTATTTACAGTGGAATAACAACAAAATAATCTATTTCACATCTAGCAATCCTTTCTCTAGTACTAGTTACAAAGCAAAGTCATAAGCACTGCAAAGACTTACGCAGTCAATCTTTTCTACACTTAACAGCCTGTCTCTAGGAATTCATTAAAAGTTCCAAAATTCTGCTCCTCTTAACTTGAAGGTTTATATCGATGAGTAGAAAGATCAAGGCAAAATATGAGCATGATCTTTTACTGTCAGATTTTTGGATATGGGAGTGTATTTTTGTTGGGTTTGGGTTTTTCCTTTGTTTTTATCCTGAAATCAGGAAACATGATTTCTGTACAAGGGCCTGTTAGTTCACGGTAGAAGAGAAACTGTTCCAAAAAAGTGTGACTGTCATGAACAAAACATCACATACTTGCATTATTACTATGGACAAATTATTTATAAATGAAGTGGTAAAAAATTAATTGAAATCTCGCTGCCTTAAACCTTTCTAGAATTTATACTTCTCTCCATCTTGGCCAAACAGCCATTTCCATAAGAAAATTCAGTAGGCAGCAAGGAAAGAAAACATCCTAGGCTGCTTCTGACACAGTGTTTTGATCTACCAGGTATAAATGTGCAACTTTAGTACAGTCATCAAAAGTACATCTGTCTGTCCAGCAGTTAATTTGGTTTGTGTCTATCCAAACCAGCAGAAATACACAACAAATGTAGGCAATTAGTAATTGAATTGAGGTAAGTACATACATACATAACGTACATTCAGAAAGGCTGCTTAAAATTCACTGATGGAAGAGCTCTGTTTTGTTGCATTTTTTCCCCCTTATTTAACTGGCCTCATTTTATGGTATACAACTAAACATACACACATACTCCTTATTTATGGTGGCAGCCATACAAAGAAATTGCAACTTCAAGTAATACAAAAAGCACATGACAGAAGTAGAGAAGTGTGAAGAAGCCACAAATTAACGTTGCCCTATGGTTGTCTTTAAAAAGCACAATATTATGAATCTCAGGTGTGCACAGCAATATGAATACATAATAGATTTTAACATGCAATTTTCCACAAGTATTAGAGCTTTGTAGTCCTTCATTATTTCAATATGATTGTATTAAGGTGTTGTCAGCTGAAGCTGTTAAATAAAGTGTATGCGTGTCATTTCCATCTATCTATATATATATATAATATGTATAGGAGAGGCAATATTTGAATCAATACTGAGAATGCCATCATTATAAAATAGCCTTTATCCCAGTGAGTGCTGTCTTCTCAGATTGTCACAACATTTGGCTTCCTTTTTTGGGTTCTTCCTGCATATGCTCCTAAAAATTAAGTAGAAACATTAGCCTTTTATAAGTGATAGTACTGTGTGTTTTTTGTTTGTTTTGTTTTAAAACAGATTATCCAATTAAAAAAAAGCTAAAAAGCTAAAGACAAAAAAAGTTTAAGCATTACTATAGCATTACTATATATCCATATTTAAAATGAGTTTTCATAATTTATTTGTTAAATGCCTTACAAATACATCCATAAAACAGATTATTAAAGCTACAAATATATTTGACAGTAACTACATATTACAGTATTCCCTTCTTCAATGACTGCTCCATCTACTTTTATCCATTGTATTTTCTGTCTTAATACTGTTAGTTTCTTTTAAATATTTGTGAATTATAGTTACTTCAAAATATACTTTAAATACTTTAAAATAACAGAAAAATTATTAGATATTCCATGTACTACTTTAAAAAATAGCGATAAAAACATCAGAAAAGTCATATTTAAGATAACTTTCCTTTTCCCCAGCTCCCATGTTAATAAATCAGGAGAGGCAGAGACAGAGCAAGAATAATGCAAAGCACAGTCGCTCAACATTGTATGGTTGCGTGTTTAACTGTTTTTGATTATAATGGTTTTTGTTTTTTTTTTTTTTTTGGAGCACCCTCATAAACTCCTCCTTACAACCACCCTCCCCACAGACTGATCTCTCTCCAAGCAGCCGTTCCACACGTTTATCAGCTGTCCCCATCCTGAAGGATCCTCCCTCAGTTCAAAAAGCCAGCCAGAAAGAAGCACCTGGCAGACCAAGGGCAAACTGCAGAGGTTCTGCTTACTGATAGTTTCTTCTCTTCCCCCAGAGGGGAGCTCCTGCAGCCCGTCACCCTGTGACCCTGCTCCTTGCTGAAACAGCTGCGGAAGGAGAAGGGTGCAGCGGGGCAGCCGTCGCTCATGGAAAAAATACGTGCACTGCTGAGCTGAGCCCTTCTGCAAGGCACAGCACACAGGGACAAGCCCTGCACTCCGCACCATCCTAAAAACTCCACTGGCCAAAGCCTCTTGGGGTTCCTATTGGAGCTGCTCCCTTAGAGTACCTTGCACAGCATCAGGTAGATCCCAGCTCTAGCTATCAGTAATAGCGGTTAACTATCAGTAAAACAGTCAGATAACTACAGCTTAACAATAATTTAACTGTCAAGCATATAGTCAAAGACTTAAACACTGAAAAAAAGGACAAAAATACATGCCAGAGAATGCTCAAATCCTACTACAACTGAACTGTCTTTTCCAGTGAACTATTGTAGGTTTCCATACGTTGACATACACAACCAGATTTAAAGATAAGTATGGATAAGGCAATCACACAGAGCCCTTATGGAAGGACAGCTGTAAAAGAAGTGTGTTCTCTCCATAAGAAAAAGATATCTATATACACATATAGATATATTTATTTTACATATTTTTAGAAAGTCATAGTGCTCTACCCTATGCGGAGCACAAATACCATCCAGCAATAAGGGTTTAGCACTGCAGGCTGCTAAAAAGTGACACAAGTCAACATTCCGTAAGGGATTATTCCGTGTCCAGCAACGTGAGCAAACACAAAGCAGTGAAGGTCATGCCACATGGAGCAGAGCGGGGCTAACAGAAGACAGCCGTGGAAAAGAAAGTAGTACCAGGCAATTAAGTGAACATGCGAAAGTGCTGGTGCTTTTTAGGATTTTCAGTGACTCCTTTGATGAGACAGACAGTTGCAGTGGTGACTTACAGGCGCTCAGGAGCCACTATGCCAAGCTCAGTGCCAAACAGCTTTGGAAAGAGCCCGTAAAGGCCTTGCCAGAGCAGGAGCCCTCATAGCTGAGCCCTCACTGCGCAAAAGGCCACCTGGCCGGGCCAGCACTCGCAGTGCCGCGCGCCTCAGCTCACCTGCGATCCCACACGGCAAAACCACCGCACCGACACGCACGGGGCCTTCTTAGGGACTTAACATTAGGCTCTTAGCTCTGTTCATGGCACCCCAAGTTAAAGCATTTTTGGGACAGAATTTCAAGTAACAGTCAGAAAAATGGAAAAAGGCAAGTAGTTGGACAGGTATGTTAGCATTTTCTTCTGAGGGTTTGTCTAATGTGTAGCTTGAATGGATAGGTAACATTTGGAATAGCTGTGTACTATTAAACATCTCTCCTTTTTGCCCCCCTAATAAGCCTACTTCAATTGGGAGTTAGGAACTTATAAAGACAATAAATGAAACAGAAATATTATGGGTTAGAAGGACAGCAGACTAGCATAGCTATGAAAACAAATGAATATTTGTACTGCCCAAAGCAAATCACTGCTAGAAGTCTTATTTTCTGCCATGCACAAGTTTTAGTAAATCCAGAAAAGCAAATGCATTTGTTTGGCTTTTAGCATTACTGTTTTTTTCTTTTTCATATTGACTTGAGATTAGTTTTGTCCCTGGTCTTTCCTAGGCAGAACTTTTCACCTCACTATTGATGATGTTCAGGGACTCCTCTGGAAAGGAGATTTGTTACTCACAAGAACAGACTTTTAAAATCACTAACAACAACAAAATTTTCAAAGGAAAAATTATTACATATTCCAATATTTCACATATTACTAAACCTTCCACTATACAGATTTTATCCATACATGAACAAAATCTTGTTCTAATTAAATTCATTCAATTTGAGGTATTTTTCATTGTTACATAATTATGCAGATCATTTCTTTCCTGTCTAGACAATGCCTCCAATTTAATTATTTCAATTATTAACCGTATACAAGTATTCTGACCTATGTATAAGCAAGCATGTGGAAGTACTGGTATTATGTGATTATGTGATGTTCAAATGCTAGCTGAAGTTATGCCATGCAGCCAAAATTAGACAGCAGGTAATAGGTTAGTTGCATCATCCTTAAGTTCCAACATAGCCACTGCAAAAGACACTGAAGTTATCCAAAAATTCACTAAGCAGTAATAATGAAAGCAGAGGAGAAATTTAGAGCCATATTCCAATAGGTTCTTTTCATTGACAGGTATCAACTATTAACGACTTCAATTACATATGATTATCTCAAGTCAAGGCACTGGCAAAACAGCCCACACCACCAACACAGAGGAATGATGGAGGGTGTTTTAATTTGATTCTGATGCCAGAGGTAATTCCAAAGACTGTGCAAAACAGAAGACTATTGTCGACTGAGCATGAATTAAATGCTGATGTCATCTATGCACCATAATTATTTTGCAGCTTCTGTAATACTGTAATTAGAAGCAGACTTGACTGCTTGGTAGTCTGTGTTCTTCAGAACTTCCCTCAGCTAGCTAGCTAGTTAAAACATTTTTGCAGAGTGTCAGATAAAAACCTGTCTTAATGGTTAGCTCTTGTTGCTACAATTACATTGAATTCTATTACATTTTAGAGACCTTATTTACTAGCTCTGTTTATTTCTCTATAGCATCACGGAGGGTAACTTAATACTGCCACACTCCACCTTAGTGGTGATAGCATTGACAAGAAAATTGGCATCAGAAAGGAGAGAAATAAGCCGTATTTTGTCCACATCATTTACTTATTCCTCTCCTCCCTTGTCCCTCTCTCCCTGTCCTCTTTTAACTGAAACATTACAGGTTTCTTTATGTGTGGTTTCCTACTCTTCACCTCTACGGATACTTCTCCTGGCTTCACACGATACAAAACAAAAATTTCTGGTAAAAAAACCACTTTGTGTGGTCCTAATAAGCCCTGCACATGCTCCACTGCAGCTCACAGATACGGTCCCTAGCACTGTTCCAGTCCCAAAATAAATGCAGAATTTCCCACACAGGAAAGGTTTGATACTTTATACATAATTTAGATCACTATGAAAAACAGTTGAAAATCTACTATGTTACAATATTCTACTTGAGCCCCATAATTTCCACTTTTTTTTCCCTCAACTTGTATACTTTGCCCTTAAAGAGCAAAGTATAATTAAGGTCTTAAATTTCTAAAATGACAAACATTAACATACCAGAAGACAAAATGACTTTTTAAAAATGTTTAAAATCAATTTTAAAAATGAAAATTGCATAAGGTGTTTCATAGAGGTTTGTTCATTTTATGCCTTAGTAGGATGAAAAGAGAGAAGTTTATCACTGTTCTCAAATATTTTTAATGAAAGGGTAACCAATGAGTAATGTCTCTTTTCAAATATAGGAATCATTTACCTTTTAAAATAGACCATTAAAACTCAAAACATTCTTGAATGATGCTATTGCATATATGTTAGGACTGTATGCCCATTGGTAAATGCTCTAAAACTGTCCTCCCTGTCCTTCTATGTAGGCTTCTCTTTGAAGGCAGGTCACAGTTGTGCAGAGATCCAAGAACCCAATAATGCTGAGATTCTAACCCAAGTCTAGCTTGCTGACTGTTAGCTTTTCAAACAGTTCTAGTGAGTACACGTAGCAAACGTGGGGTTTTTTTTATTATTATGCTTGAATATTGAGTGAACAAAAATAAGCTGTATATTTACATTTATAGAATCTGAAAGCCGAGAGTTATCAGTGCATATTTAAAGAGATATATTAGACTTAAGACATAGCAAAGCAGGTGCACAAGAAAAGAAAACAATATATCCCACATTTAATTTTTTTTGATACTAGTAACTTATTTACTATAAGATCCAAGCACCAGTTTTCTACACACCTGAAACAGCCTTGTTAGACACTCTGCTTTCTGAGGGCTTCTTTCTATTTTGCTCAACCCCCTTCATTGAGGTCTTAGGGGTTCTAATTAAATATAAAAGAATTAATAAGTCACTTGCATCAAAGTCAAAAGGCTGTATCTAAAAACATAATGACACTATCAAACTGTTTTTGGTATAAAAACACTTTTTCTATATCCCAAACAGCCTCTTTCTGAATACGTGCACAAATCCTATTAAGAGTATTAAGGGTTACATAGAAACATTAAATAGGAGAATACATCTTCCATATACACATTTTTAATACTCTGTACAAGAAACTTATTCAATTCTGATACTATGGCATCAGAGTCTGTGTTTAAATTTATACATATATGTATTTATTTCATTAAGTGGAAGCAAAGCTTCATGAAAAAATGAATGTTACACATATAAATGTTGGAACAAAGTGTAAATGAAGACAATACACAGAAGGATGAAAACACTCAATATTTTCTTACAGTATAAAGTAAAATAAAAAGCCTAAGCACTACCTCAAAATACTGTGAAAAGTAATTATTTACCTTTGAACAACAGTTGCACCAGTATGTATAATCACTGTTCAGAAATTACTGTGGTTCTGCATTCACTCTTATCTCTAAGTTATGAACACATTGTTCTCTTACCCTTGTCTGCAAAGCAGTCTGTGAACTGGAGCATTCTGTCCTTGATTTGGCTGAAGCACTCTGTTAAAATACAAACTTCCGTTAGCGCCTTCTCCCTTCTTTATATAAAAAGCTCAGAAGTATGCTGAATTATACATAGTCTTTCACATAAGAAATCTCAGAAAGACTAATAGGCTCTGCAATGCAGATGACATGTAGGCAAAAGCAGCAGGACTTAAGATTCCAGGATAGAGCTACTACATTCTGTAGTTAAAGCAAAGAAACCAAGGATTACCCAGGAAATTATTCCCCCTAACATGCCTCAGGTTCTTAGTCATTAACAGGGAAAAAAAGACATATACGGGGAAAAAAATCAGATAATTTATACTAATTATTGAAAAATAAAATGTATTAGTAGATAACACATATTCAAAACTTTTGGGCACGTGCAAAATAAAAACTGTGTTTAAGGGATGCCGGGTATCTGACTTGTTGTAGAAGAAAATGGTACTGACACTTCACCCACAAGACAGTAGTAGTCAAATTTTCACTCACCGGCTTTCAGGAGTTTTTTGTTTTATGATTATTTTTTTACTTGGCATTCCCATTTCTGAAGCCCTAGATAAACAAAAAAAAAAAAATTGAAACGTATTTAAAGTATAAAATCACCATACAAGTCTTCAAACAGTATCTGTAAGAGAAAACTTCTGACAATACCTAATGCCAGAATATCACAAATTATCACTGTTTACTTAAGAGTAACTAGAACAGAATTGTTTTCTCCACCATGTTGCAGAATAATGTCTGCTGTTATCCCCGAGAGCAGAGTATCTCTGGCTAAAGTGCTATCTCTAGTGTCAGGTACTTTGGCATAACTGAAGAGCGAACTTGCAGCGCTTCATTTACAAAATCAGTCATAAAGTAAATGCACAAGAATCATTTTGCTCATCACTTAAATATAGCATCTTAAAACAAACAACTTTTTTGCATTTTTAAGGTTAATGTCTGTAACAGAAAGTACTACTAAAAATAGTAACACACGACACGTCTGAAGGAAGGTTCCATTCACTCTTCCTAAGAATGCTGGTTTGCAGAGATGTTGTACCAGAAACTGTTTCACAACTTACAACTCCTCCTAAACATCCTATTTCACACACCCATCCCCCAGAGAACTGCACATACTTCATATACTTTTTCCTATCCAGAGATTTCTGCGTAGCTGTTGAAAGCGTTGCTCTCTCTCTTGGGCTCTTTATTTTATCCTGAGAAAAGCAAAAGAATATACAACATTAGTTACTATTTTTATTGAAATTAAGCCCATCTAACCCTGCTTAAAAAATATTAACATTTTCAGTACAAAATTTACATTTGGGTTATTTTTAGCATTTTAAAAGAAGAAAAAAAATGGCAAAACAACAAAATAACCCAAAGGAACTTCCATATATAATCCATGTATTAAATATATAAAATATATAAAAATAAATATATAAAAAGGTTTGTTTTATAAAGAAAACTTAATTTAAAATCTGAATTATTTTACCACTTTCAGCATGCTATTTTCATAGAATCATAGAATCATAGAATCATAGAATGCTTAGGGTTGGAAGGGACCTCTAGAGATCATCTAGTCCAACCCCCCTGTACACGCAGGGTCACCTAGAGCACGTGGCACAGGACTGCGTCCAAGCGGGTTTTGAAGATCTCCAGAGAAGGAGACTCCACAACCTCTCTGGGCAGCCTGTTCCAGTGCTCTGTCACCCTCACTGTCAAGAAATTTTTCCTTAAGTTCCT